GAGAAGGAGCGGGAGCGGGGCTATGGCGGGATCTTTGTCACGTTGTTTGGTGGAGGAGGAGCGGGAGGAGGAGCGGGGGGAGGAGTGGGAGAAGGAGCGGGAGAAGGAGTGGGAGGGAAAACGGGAAGGGGCGGAGGAGGTGCGGGAGGAGGAGTGGGAGGAGGAGCGGCAGGGGAAACGGGGAGGGGGTTAGGAGCGGGAAGAGCGCGAGGGGAAACGGGAACGGGTGGAGGAGGCACCGGAGGAAATCTTAAGAGTCTTAGCCGTAGTAATTTTCTTCAAAGAATTCAACCAGAGGAAAATAAATGGTTTCCCTCTCATCAGGTATTCAGAATCAGAGCACCGTAACACGAGGACCATTGGTTAGCTTCTCTCTCTTTTTTTTTTTTTGAAGAACAACCCGACCGGATGCTAGGTGTGCTGATATGAGCAGACACACCTAGCACCGACGGGGAGGCTCCATCTATTGGTGGGGAGCTTCACCTGCTGGAAAACGGGTCCATCTGGCTTTCGATCCGCTTACTTGGAGCTGGTCTTCTACAGTGGGTAGGGGTCGGTCAAATCAACCTATCGTATGCTCAGACCAAAAGTTAATCTACGAGATAGAGTGGAGGCCAGATGGATGTGTAAGCTTAATTTAAGTGAGGACTCACTCGGTCGTATTAAATGGTTTAGTTCTATTCAGTCTAAAGCAGGTAAGGTTGCTTCGCTGCAATGGCAAATAGATCATCGTTGCTTACCCACAAATGACTGGATTATTGATAGAACCTCATTAGAGCAAAAAGGTGTTGCATTACCATGGTGCAAATTCTGGTCTACTGCATTTTTTTCCTGCTAGGAATATCCTTGAAACTGTTGAGCATATATTCTCCTTCAAGATGCCCAGGGGCGGTCTGGCTCTGGAGGCGGCGGGACAGAATCTGGGGTCAACTGGGTACCTCCCAACCTTGGCAGATGTGTTGCTACTAAGAAGTGAGGGGTTTCTGGACTCTGATCTTTAGAGAAGATACTAGCAGCTCAATGTTATTAGAAGTGTGTCTCAGTTTAAAGTTTAAACAATTGCAACAACAACAGACTGTCTATTAGATGAATGGCTAAAGACAACAGTCTTAGAATAGGACACTAATTCTCCTAACAACAACCGGGAGATACGGGTAAGATACCGCCTGCAGTTACTTACCGAAAAAAAARAAAAAAAAAAAAAAAAAAAAAAAAAAAAAAGTGAGGGGTTTCTGTGCTGCCCAGGCAAGGGGGAGAGGAGCCAAGATCTCATACAAGCAGGTGCAGCAACGCCCCGCGATGCAGCCAGCAGACAAATGTCAGAGAAGAAAAAGATATGATTTCATCCTGCACTCTGGGCTCCCGGAAAAGAGCCCCGGCCGGCCATCTGGACGCTGCAATGACTACCTACGTGCCTATCCGCAGAAGGTGGTCAGGCTTAATTATAGCTTAAAATATCTGTAGAAGATGTAACTTTGGAAGTTTGGAAGCAATGATCTGTAATGATTATGAGCCCACCTATAGAAGGTGGGCAGGCTCAATAGAAGCTCAAAATTGTGTGAAAGAAGGTACTTTGGCTAACCAATGTAATGGGACACCGGACCCAATTTCCAGCAGGTGCAGCTCCCCACCAATGGAATGGAGCCACCTATAAGCGGGGACTGTAGAAGGGGTGTCTGCTCTTATCAGCAGATTCAGCACCCCCGCTACACCCGTCGTCAATGTTTTCCCCACAAACAAAAAAGAAGTGAGGAGTTTTGTAAGAGTGCAGAAAGGGGAATTGGTGAATGACTGTGAAATACTTGATATCCTACATCTGGCGCCCAACTCTTGGACTGTATTCTACATATTCGAAAGTTATTCAAGGGACACTGGGCCCGTTTTCCAGCAGGTGTTGCTCCCCACCAATAGATGGAGTGGCTACTAACAGCTTAATAACATGCACACTAGGGGGGGATGCTCATACCACCTTCCCTTTGTTTTCTTCCTCCCCCCCCCCCACAAACAACCTGGTAGGAGCAGACGCGTCAAACTTCCTCGGGGAAGACACCATCTATTGGTAAGGAGCTCCACCTGCTGGGAAACGGGCCCAGCGCCCCTTTATACAATTGAACATTGAAAAACAGGGATCTGTTGGATATGCGGGGGGGATAACCTTTTCAGTCTGTATACAGACGGCCACAGTGACTACTTTCACTGAGACACAAAGCTACTCCCCTCCTCATCCATGGTACGTTGGTGGATGTCGAGGGTGGCCACATTCATCCTCCTCCCTTTGGAATCTTAACCCCTAAAACCTTGATAACCTCAGTGCAGAACCCTCACATTATGTAGACGGTGACTGCAGCGTCTTTAACTGCACACACCACCCCTGCTCGTTTTTGGAGCGTTGATTAATGTCAAGGGGGGCTGTATCCGCCGTCTTCCTTTTGAAACCCCAGCCCCTAAGCCCTTGTGTACCAGAGCACAGACCCCTGTGGTCATACAGACTACTACTGCTCGTCCTTGGAGCGTTCAGTCAAGGGCAGCTATATCCGTCCTCCTCCTTTTGAAGTCTCAACCCCTAAGCCCTCGAAAACCAGAGTGCTGATCCTTGTGTGCATACAGACTATGTTGCAGTGATTCTGAGACATCACCCCTCCACCCTGCGAACCTTTTAATCTGTAGGGCTAGGACACTTAAACTCTGAGCCGTCTGTGTATCCAGAGTGTACTGCCATGGTTTCAAGTATGAATGGTTGTATGTGTGCGTCAATTGAAGCTTTTGTATGGTCCGTGGCTGCCCTCTGATGACATCATTCGCTCTTGTAGACCGGAGTTTGGGGTCACCATGCTTGTGGCTGCTCCCACTTCCGCTTCTGCCGCCCGTAGCACGTCATTGTTCACTGCAAACACTTCTGCCTCCTGCCTGCAGATAGGGAGCATGGGGGTGCGGGGATCTATGGGACAGGCGCGGGGCTGGGGGGTCGGGGATGCAGGGGGGGGATCAGTGCTTGAGAGGGGGGTGTTGCGACGAGGATGAAGTTACTCAGGAGGTACGGGACCTGATATTCATTGAGGGGCTTTCGTTGCCACTTCGTCTCTGAGTCTCTTCATGGTCACCACAAGAGATCCAGTTTCGCATCCAATTCGCCGAATTTCCTATGGGGATCCTGCCATATTTGGATGTAGGAGTCATGGATGGCCTGTTTGGCCTGAGGTTCGTTCTCGTTGCAGTATTCGCTTGTCATGTTTTTCCACGCTTCCCAGGTGCGGGATCTGATCACCTCCTCTATTGCGTGCTGGGCTTGCTGCAAGCCGAACTGATGGTCTTTCCTTTCAAATTAGCACCTTGCACGCCAGGCCAACATCAGGACGTGCAGTCTATGAGAACAGGTTGACTGTGAAGGGAGACCAGTAAGCTAGCTTGTGTTGATTCTCACTGAGCAAAAGGAGACCAAGATCCCATGGGATGTGGAATGTCGTCAGCGAGTGAAAGGCCGCATCCCACCAGCGCCACAGCTGGGCAAGGAGGCAGTGTTCGAGCGTTCCTCTGGCGGGCGGGGACGCTCTCCCTCGGTAAGAGCAAATGGAGGACAAATGGCCTTTCAGTTCCAAGTCTGTTCTTGACACCAACCAGTCCAGACATCGGTGTAGGATTTGCCACTGCAGCGACCGGAGGTTTTTGGACATAATCTTAGCGTATGTACACCAGGGTAGGTTGTGCAGCAGGGCGGAGTCTATAGGTGAGTCCCGGGCCCATCTGTCAACTATGATTTGGTTGGTGGGTACTTTTGGGAATGAGGCTCTGTATCCACCTTTTACAGAATAGTCCCAGACATGCATTGGTTTCTGCCCAGGCCATTCCCACTCCTCGGGTCGAAGGGGAAAGCGGCAATCGGCGTGGAGGGTTCATAGACGAAGAGACCGTCTTTTGGATCCCCCACCACCCGCATGAGCATCAGGTCGGTTCGGATGTGGTCTCAGTCAAGATCATCGCTGCGTGTGAGTTTGGACATTCTTGGCCCCGGACGTTGGGGCTCGTAGGCTTCCAGAGTGCAGGTTCTCCCTACCTTCTTAACCCGAAAAAAACGTACGTACCCTGTATACGAATACAATGTACGGGGCACGCTGATTCGAGTACAACGTACGTACGTTATAGAACGAGTTTTAGGGTACAACTTTTCAGAAGCCTGTAGTACCGCCATTGTTTTTATTTTTATCTCAAATTTGGTTAGGAATTTCGCCAAGACCCTCAGGCAAAAGTTGTTTGGATTGCAATGTTGTACAACATACTTTGTTTTCGGATTTTTTACTGAAGTTTTTTTTAATCGAAATTCTGAAAAAATCAGTAAAAAACATTTTCATCCTCGTTTTTATTTTTTTTCTCGAATTGTCTCGTGAATTTCGATAAGACCCTCAGGCAAACGTTGTTTGTATTGCATTGTTGTATAACATTTTATTTTATTCGGATTTTTTTGACTATTTTCGAAAAATCAAAGTTCCAAAAATTCGAATACAACATACGTATGTTGTATTCGAATACAACGCACGTACGTTATATTCGAAGGTACGTTCTATTCGGGGAAAAACAAGAGATTTCTGAAAACCCGATTTCCAGAGGTAATTCGAATAGAACGTACGTACGCTTTTTTCGGGTTAAGAAGGTAGTAGGTCTGTATTGGCCTTTTTTATTTTCTTGGGGAAACTACGCGGGAGTCACAAAAACGAGCGATAATTGCACAACGGGCCAAGATACAGTTTGCAATTGCAGTTCGGGCAATGTATACCATGCGTGAGAACTGCAACAACAACAACAACAACAACAACAACAACAACAACAACAACAACAACAACAGTAACAACAACAACAGTAACAACAACAACAGTAACAACAACATCGATAACAAGAAGGCCAACAACAACACCAGCAGCCACGAAGCAGGGATTGTGGGCGCCAGCATAATTGTTGGCCATGTCACTGGCGCAGGCGTGCAAATTGCGACTTCGCGTGCGCTAGATTACAATAACAAGAACAACAACAACAGCAACAACATAAATGACATCAACAATATCAACAACGTCGGTATGGTAAGTGTGGCGGGGGTTTCCGCAGCGAATTCCGCTCTCTCCCCCTCTCCCTGTTCTCCTCCACTGTCCTATCTCCATTGCAAGCGTGCTGACGATTCGGGGGGAGGGCGAGAGGGCTGTTCGGGTGGTTCGCCCTGCAAATTGGATGGGTGTGGAGGACAGCTGCGGGTGGGATGGGTGCGTGAGGGGGTGGGTTAGATGTTGGGTAGATATTGGATCGCTTTACCTCGCCTGTTCGTGGCCACGTGGAACAATCAGTCTTAGCCACGTGCTAACAGTGTGCGAGGCATTTGGGCCTGCGACCGTGAGGTCTGGCTTCTTGTTACGTGGCGGGGATAGGAAGTGCCGGGGGAAGAGGCACTAAGGTTTGACTCAGTTGGATTCCGCCACGTGGCTCCTAGGTTTTTTGTTTTTAGGGAGCCCTGCTCTGATTCCCCCTTCTGCTCACGGTGCTGTATGGTATTTGAAATCTTGATGAGTATTCCAGGGTAGGGCATGAATTCCGGCTTGGGTGGGCAGTCAATCCCCTCTATTGACGGTAATCAATGCTGTTCACTACTTGCACATATGGTCTGTGTCGACGATCGAAGGATTTTGCGTATATAATGGGGAGGCCACGTGGCGTACCTGGTTTTCGATCTTTGCTGAGATACCCGGGGGTTATATCCCTGGGGTATAAACACTAGGTTTCATCACGTGGCAAGCGAGACGGTGCACTGGGGGTACATGGGTTCTGCTGCGTCTGGGTTTGTAGTCATAGTTTTCCTATTTTAGATTACCCCTCCTCCTCCTCCTTTGCGCGCTGCAAGATTTGACTTCACGGGGAGGTTTTCTGAGTAGGGATATAATCCTGTCTCTTATACACATCTAGATGTGTATAAGAGACAGATAATGGGGAGGCCACGTGGCGTACCTGGTTTTCGATCTTTGCTGAGATACCCGGGGGTTATATCCCTGGGGTATAAACACTAGGTTTCATCACGTGGCAAGCGAGACGGTGCACTGGGGGTACATGGGTTCTGCTGCGTCTGGGTTTGTAGTCATAGTTTTCCTATTTTAGATTACCCCTCCTCCTCCTCCTTTGCGCGCTGCAAGATTTGACTTCACGGGGAGGTTTTCTGAGTAGGGATATAATCTTTTCAGAGTTATGTGCAGTCGATCCCTTGGTTGAGGGCAATCGGTGCTGCTCATTAGGCTATCGCTGCATGTCTGCGTGTCGGTGCATGTACCTTTTCCGTCTACAGTAGGTGACACGTGGCATGTTCATATGAACTTTGGCTGTACATAGGGACGCTGGACCCGTTTTCCAGCAGGTGCTGCTCCCCACCAATAGATGGAGCCTCCCCGAGCATGCTAGAGGCGTCTTCTCTTATCAGCGCCCCTAGCATTTACTCGGTTTGTTTCTTGTAA